CACAACATATGTGTATGATGAGTTGAGTAATATATGACAATTAATTTTCATGTTCCATTAAACTGTAAATGCTGGAAACTGTGTTCAAGGTACCTGTCCCCCAAACAAAAAAGCTTGTGAGAGATCTAATAGATCTAATGGTAAGATGCACAATGTGTGTGTGTGTGTGTGTGTGTGTGTGTGTGTGTGTGTGTGTGTGTGTGTGTGTGTGTGTGTGTGTGTATACACACACACACAATATGTGTGTATGATATTTTATATTACCCAAAAAGGTAATATATGGCAAATAACTCTACAGATCTGACCAAATGCTGCATGGAATCTGTGAGCCAATGTCTGACAGCGACAAATAAAGCATGTAACAAACTCAAGTAAGTGTTGCATTCTAAATTGCTTTATGTAAATCTTTCAACTGTATCAGCAATGCTATAAGATTTTGTTAATTTTTTTATCCACTAGAGCAATTAAGACCTTGGAGGATGTTTTGCTGAATACAAAAGTGAACCAAACATCACTGTTCAGAGCCAATCGTTCTATGGCTGTCCTACATAGGCCTTCTGGCTCTAGTCGCAACAGTTTTGACATGTATCTCAGTGACACTGAGGTAAGGGAAATTCTCTGAAACTGTGATTTTGGGAGGGGTTGAGTAAACTGATATGAAAACATATTTATCTTTCCAATAATGAATTAATGTCCTAGTGCAGGGAGCTTCAAGGGCCTTCAGAGCTGGTTCCCTGAAAGTCATGTGTTACATTCACACAGCAGGTCTTGATGCTCAATTTTCATGTTCTTCTTCTGCATGTGCAGAAGAAGAACAAAGATGTCACACAGCAGAGCTCTGTTTAAGGAAGTGATGCTGCCGTCTACGAATCAATTGTAAAGTTATCACTCAAATTCATAGCAACACAAGGAAAACTAATGGAAAGAAAGAAGGTAGTACAAATGGTGTTTTGTGGAGCATGACTTCTGTAGAGAAGTCTTTTTGGATGTGTATAGTTATGAGATTGTCATGTGATGTGCTTCACTGACAGACTTCCTTCATAATTTTATTATTAACATTATTTTATAATATTAACTAATATTTAGGGTTTAGGGTTTTGCATAATTCTTTATGCAATGACCAAAGAGTAAATAAATAATAAGAGGAAGAATTTTTTTGGAAATGGATAATACAGGAAAGGTTTAAGCTTCTGAAAGGGACTTTCTAAACTTCACCCTATTCTACAGCTACACTTTTGTATAGGAGCAGAAGCAGATTTCATTTCAGGAAGTTAATCATTTTAAATCAGTTTTACTGCTTCTGCCAAGAGGAGTATTCATATCCAACTGGATGAGTATTAGAAGCTTGTTGATTGCTACAGAAAGCTGGTGGTGGAGATGGAACCCTTCAGGGTGATTTAATCAGTCAGGATACATAATGTTCAGCATGGGATCAAGTGTTATTTTTTAATGTACAGAATTGCGAATAAGTGCACCTAATTTTATTCATTAAAGTTTATTATGATGTCATAACTATTTCCATATTCTGCATTGTTGCAGGGTTCTGTAGATGAGGATCTGCCCGACCGAAAATTGCGAGCTCACCTGCCTGAAGAGCTGAACCTTGGACCAAATGATAAAGTGGCATTCTGGTCTGTTCAGCTCCCAGATGAGGTCAGAGATATTACACCTCTCATACCAGTTCCCCAAGACTAACAAAACACAAACTAAGTGTTCGTTTGCAGAACTGTTTTTTTGTATCAAAGGTTTTGCAGTGAAGGTCACATTTGCTCTTGATCTTATGAATATGTTCGCTGTAGTTGGCATAGTTGTAGACCTCAAAATCTGAGTTTTATATGAGATTTTTACACCTGCCACACTTTAAAGAATAAAAGTAGATTTTGAAATTTGGATAAGAAATGTTTCATTTGTGGTCCAAACATTTTAATAATGTAAGGCCATTCAGCATTTTATATATAATCAGAGATTTCATAAATAAATTAGAACTTAGTCTCCAGTTGATAACCAGCTAGTTGTTGCTGGTTCAACCAGAACCAGCGGATGACATGGCAACCTCAACTAACTCTGGACTTCAAGTCAAATGTATTCATCTTTACAAACAGTATGTAGCTGCACTAAAGTGTTCTACAAGATCATCAAACAGAAATAACCAAAGTAAATGACAACACAAATCAATGATACAAAGGCTAAGAACAAGTAAAATTACACAAAACACTAAAACACAATCTCAGAGTTTATCAAATCCTGGTTTCCAAATGAAATGCAGAATTTGCTTTAATCTGAAAACAGAACTCTGAACCACTGATCAACAGTCCAGTTCTTTTTCTCCTAGGCCCAGGTGGGACGTCTCTGACATTGTGTCTGGTTCCACAGTGGCTTGACATGGGGAACGTGACATTTATAGCCGATGTGCTGGCACTGAACACTGTAGAAGGATTATTGATTGTGCTGTTAGAATTTTAATAAGAGAAATAGAGATTTGAATATTAATATCTGTCCAAGACAAACATTCACAGCCATTAATTGAGTGTATTTTGTATTACAGGATGATTTCAAAGGCTTAGAGAACCTGTATGAGCACACACTCATTGGCCTGAGTGTCGATGGAATGGACGTTTCTGGACTTACGGAACTAGTCAAGATCACAATCAGTATCACTGCAAACATAAATGTAACTGTGTTTTCTCTTTGATTGAATTGTCACGACTGTAAATCTGCACTGTTACTGTATGAAGCCTGTAAGTCATACAGACTTCATTTTGATTTTCCTATTAAAAAATAGTGTTTACTGGGTGTGGCAATGGCAAAGGGGTAAAGCATGACCCATGTATGGAGTCTTTAGTCCTCAACGTGGCTGTCACGGATTCGAGTCCCAATCCCATTACCTTTGCTGCATGTCTTCCCCCTCTCTCATTATCCACTTCCCTGGCCTTCATTTAACAACTTTTAAATAAAGTCCACTAGAGCCAACAAAACCTTTAAAAGTTATCTAAAACAGGAAATTTGTGTTGTAGGAAACACTGGAACCCAAGTGTGTGTACCTAAATACCACAGAAAATGGTGAGCAGCAGCATAAAAGATTACTAATCATTTAGTCAGTAACTGACTGAGGTCTTGATGAGCTGTAATCACAGATATAATCTCTTTATTTGTCTCTCATCTACCAGATACCAATCCAACACTATGTGACAATACGGACTATAATGAGACTCACATCACCTGTTTCTCCAGTCATCTCACGTACTTTGGTGTGCTTCTGGTAAGAATGGACTTTATGTTCTAAATGAATTTCTTCAACCTGATAAAAATGACATTTGGAGGTTTCTCATTTTATCAGGTCAGTCAACATCAAATATCTTCTCAATTTCTGGTAACGCTTTATTTGAAGGGGTGTGCATAAGACTGACATGACACTGTCAAAAACATGACATAACACCTGTCATGAGCCTAAAGAAGTCTTTATGAATGTCTATGAATGTTGTCAGGAAGTGTCATTCGGTAAATAATGACACTTTAATGCAAAGTTGCTCTAGAAGTTGCATTAAAAGTCCATTAAAAATGCCATCTTTGCACTAAATTATCATAATTTTGTCATGTCGGATTCTAATTTCTTCACCCAGATGCAGAAACACAACAGAGAGCACCAGTGTTTATTGTGTGAGGTTTATTGTAAACAAAACAGGAAGGTGGCAGGCGATATGGGGGGCATGGCTCTCCTCTCACGGCTGACGCCAGAAATCTAAGCACAAGGGGACAGGGAGGGTTAGTTCTGGTTCTGTTTGGATTCTTTAAGAAAAACGGAGTCGGTGGACCTACTTGGTTTTGGAGCGGGTCCGAGCCAGGAGGGGAAAGGGCGTCTGGG